GCCAAGATGAGCTTCTGTATGTTCCTGAAACATATTACATTTATTACTGACTCAGTGACTTGGCCTTACTATTCCTTCTTCTTGGAATTTTTTTACTCTAATCTTCACATCACTATATTCTTCTCTTTATTCATGTCCCAGTTCAAATGCTATCTCCTCAGAGAGATGCTCCTAGCATATCCTACCTCATGTTCTCTCTACCTATATCATGCTCCTGCTTTGTTTTCTTTATAGCACTTAGCATTGTCCAAACATAATGTATTTATCTATATATCACTTATTAAATATAGTTAAATGTAAATTCTGTGAGGGCAGGGAACTTTTATTGTTTGTTCATCATTATGATTTTGTTGCTAATAACCATGCTTGACACATAGTAGAAATGAAGATCCATTTGAATAAATAAAAGAAGGAGTCAACAAAAGAGAAAAGACAACTTTACTATGTATCAGATGGCATAAGGAGTCAGCTAGTGTTTTGTTATTCAGGGAGAAGAATGGAGGTGAACTCTACCCCAATGGGATCATACCTGTTAAGTAAATAATGTATTCAACTGGTGAGGATTGAATTATAATTTGGATTTGTTCTTGAAAGATTCTATAGACAAGAATTCTTTATTACGACTTTGTTTAGATTATGCTTTTGGATCAGCCAAACTATGTGAGGGAACACTATGTGGAGACAATCAGAAAGATACCTGGATAAATTTAGGACTAGGCATCTAATACTGGTTTCTAAAGTTAGATTTTGTCTCTTATAGGTGTATTTAGGTCCCTGATTTTCATAACAACCTTTACTGCACCCAGAACTTGAAAATTAAGTGCCTACATCTTGAAAGAGTAGTTTTACTTTGCATCCTCTTTTATTTTTTTTTCTATTTCCATTTTAGTACTAATAGTTTGTATGGGTATCTTAAGACTATTAAGTCAGATGATAAGGATGTGTGGCTTGCATTTTTTCTGAGAACCAGGGAAGAACTGGCTATGTAGAAGTGGAATCTACAGTTGTAGGTAATATGCAAAGCAGACTTTATTCACAGGTGACTCTTGATTGATTGATTGCGTTTTTTGAAATAGTTACTTTTTTTTCCCAGGCCCAAAGTAAATAAGATAAACAATGAACATCACTTTAAAGAAACAGAAGGAGGGCTGGACTGGGTGTTCAAAGCTGGTACTAAATATGAATCTATTAATATTTATAAATATGGGCCTATGAAAAACTTACAAATCATTCTGGTCCTTGAGTTCCTTGCCCATCAAATGGTGATTAGACTTCATATTTATTTATGGCTCTTCCAACTTTGAAAAGTCTATAGTTTCTGTGCCAAAAACCACCTTGGCATTGTTGTTTTCAAGAAGATAAAAACCAGTTGTCAATACCACTAGGAATATTCATACATACTATCATATTAAAACCTTATAATTCCCAAAGGAAATTAGAAGATCCTTTATCCCAAATCTACAGATGAGAAAACCATGACTTGAAGAGATTAAGTGATTTGTTCAGTCATGTAGGTAATAAGGAGGAGAGACAGGATGACGAACCTAGTTAATTTATCTACCATTTTTCCATGAAAAGAGGCTATTAAAATGAGGGGTAGGAATGGGGGGATGATACCTTCAAAGACTGATCATGATTCTAATTTTATTTCTATATGCTGTATGATATGAGGCAATTTCTTAATGTCTTTAGGCATTTTTGCTATTAGTAAAAATCAAGAATATCATATAAATAATATAGGACAATTTATATTTTATGTTATCTATATTATGTATATGATAAGAATATCATATAGATAATATAGGTATATATATGTATAAATATATATACCCACACACACAAACACACACACACACACAGAGAGAGAGAGAGAGAGAGAGAGAACTTTTGCACAAACCATTTCCCTAGTAAAATATCCTTTCTGATCTCCTAACTCTGACCAATACCTATACATTTCAAAGTTCAAACTCAAGAGTTTATTTCTTCTTTAAAATTTCCTTTGATGCCATAGGCCATTCCTGTGGCTTCTGTGTAAAATTCAAACTCATTTATAAATATTTCCTACGTGCTTCCTATGGTGGTAGAGAGCTCTGCTAGGGCTACATAGAGCATTTCATGGAAGTGATCTAGTTTAGTTTGTTTGTGTTAATAATTCCCAGATTTTTAATGTTATCTAAAAGATCTTTGACATTTACAAAGAGGACTGAGACAAAGTTGTTAACTTTCATTTTCTAGGTAAGGACATAATAAATAACTACTTTTGACTACCATGATTCTTTTACAAAAAAAAAAAAAGTCATTTTGACACCAGAAACCATAATCTCAAGATTTTGAAACAATTAATAAATTAAGCTTTGTGGAAAACTTTCTGGAGGAGTTGAGTTTGCATAATTAGGAAACAGGCATTGGGGAATCCATTGGTTTGTACATATTTTTCCCAATATAATAGTTCTTAGATGCTACTTCTTAATCAATTTTTCATTTCTAGTGAAATATCAACAGTCTAGTAGGAAATATTCAATTAATATTAATGAATGAGGCAGTGAATCTGCTTCAGAGCAAATACCTCTGAATCCTATGGTAATGCTTAGAGCACAGGGTACAAATGAGAAGACACCAGCAATGGTGGGAGTGGTGGGGGAGTGTATGTATGTGAACTGATCTGATTTACTTTACAAGCAAGGCAACAATCATGAAGATGTTGTGAAGAGTTATTAGTAAGTCAGTCTTGCAAGGGAACAGAAAAGGAATCAGAGGAAGGAAGACACTGAGGCATGGTCACTGTAGAAGAAAAGTTCATTCTCTTTCCAGAACATTCCTTGTGACATCCAAAGTAGATTAGGAATAATACAAAGTACAGTTTCTGTAAATAGATAGCATTCATTGAGTATTTATTATGTGTCAGACACTAAGTTCTTTGCATTTGTAATCTCATTGAATTATGACAACAATCTGTTAAGACATATTCAATAGCTATTCCCTTGCAAAGATGAGGAAACCAAGGCTTGCAATTTCCCCGGGGCCACATGGTTAGCCAGCTATAGAGTTAGGTCTCAACCCTGTTTTCTAGTTTTCTTTAGAGCTCATCAAAACTCTCAGATTCCTGGGATAAGCAAAGTTTTATGATTTGTTTTTTACTTTGAAATTAAGGAGAAAATAAGAATGTTTCTTCTTAGTCAGGATTTTAACATTTCTAGGGAAACTCAGTTCTACTGAAAAACTCTGTGACCATAAGCAGTTTCCTTTAAACTTTTTGCACTTCAATTTCTACCCTCTAAAATAGGAATGAAAGCCTTTCTGTTTTGGGGGGGGGGATTAAATGGATCCTGTGTGTCAAAGAGCTAGCAAAGTGCCCAGATTATGAAGAGGCTTTAATAATTGCTAATTTATTATGGGTCCTAAGGTAAAATGACATTTTCAAATTAAAAACAAATCAAATATTAGTGATAGTGTAAAAGCAAATAGATCATTGCTCTAGTGGATAAAGGTGTCTCTATTTACACTTTTTTTTTTTTCCGAGAGCCTTGAGGATTATCTTTGCTGCAGCCCTCATTTTAATTGAGAGCATAAAGATCAGACACTTCAGCACAGGAAGAAATTTATATATGATTTACACCACAGATGTACATTTGCAGCTTCAAAACATCCCATCCCTTGGCTAAAGATATAACAAGCTACTTCAGCAAACCTGATATTGCAAAATAAATGGAAAGTGCTTAATCATTTAAAAAGATATACCAAAGAATGCACATGCTCCAGCAGGAAGGCTCCTTTACTTTCTTAAAGGCTGACGAATGGCTTCAATTAGACAGGCAGGAGAGAAAACCAAAACAATCCATCTCTTTCATTATTTATACACAAAAACATACAGAAATAAAGGGCACATATCTATATTTACTCTCATTTTTGGTAAAAGTATTATTTAAGGAGAAAGTCAAATTGCAGAGCAATGTGCAAAATATGAATTTATTTTGCCAAATCAATGCCAAGCTCCACCATAGCTAAGTATGTATTTATATGTATTTGTATGACATGGGGAAGGTATGAGAAGTTCATGACAAGCTTGACAAGCTGTCACATTGAGTTCATCAAGATAGGTCCCTCTGGAGGAAGTTTGAGAGAGATTCTTGTTTCTTAATCATCTTTTTATTCCTTTGCTACATGTACAATATAAATATTACTTTGAAACAAAAACATTTAAAATAAAAAGTAACACACATTTTAAATTATTCATCCACCCATTCATTCATCTATTCATCATTCAATATTTATAGAATCATTGCCAGTGACCATTTAAGTAAACCATGTTGGTCTTCTCTGTGAGCTTCCAAACCAGACTTTTTCAGAGGAGGTCTGGATACATTTGAATTTATTTAGGAGATTAGAATGTAGATTAGAATGTAGTTGCATGTTCTTAGAATCCTGTTCCCATTTGGAATTAACAGGGCATGTTAATTTAAAACCATTTGGAGTTAACTTTATTCCTTTCCTTTCAACCTATAGCTATTGCAACTAGAGGGAGGGTTGATTAATTCCCAAATTCCACTGAACTATAAGTGGCTATTGGTGGCAAGCATGTGGGAGTTTTGAGTCAAAAGAACAGAGTTTCAGTTCTGACCTCAATCAACTCCATGGGTAAATAATATTGGCATGCGATTTCCCTCTTTTGTAACCTCAGCAGTATCTTCCCTCCTTAAGTAATGACACCTATCTTACACTATGCCTGTAAAGTTCAATGAAATCAAGTATGGAGACTCTTAAGAAATCACAAAGTGATAGAGAAGTGTATATTACTCTAATCGTGGTTTTTCTTCCCACCAGAGAACAATAAAACATGTTTACAAGTATTTGAAGCTTTGCACTTGAGGGAAGACTATACTTATTTTGAATGGCACTCAGAAGCTTCAGTGAGTCCCCAAAGCAACAGCTCAGATATTAGGCTAATATGATTTCTTCCTGGTAATGATAGCAAACCCAGTCACCCCACAAGCATGTCTGACCTGGTGTAGTCATCTTCAACAAGCATGTGCTTTGGAATTGGCGAGTACCTTCCTGGAGAGATGGGCGGCAGGGATGTTTTGTATTCTAATGTGCCATTGTTGCCAGAGAGTAGATGGTTTTCCATTGGTGGAGAATAAGCTAAGGGGAGGAGGAGAAAAGAAGTGAAATGAAACTTGTTATGTGGGTGATTCAATGTTCCATGCTATATTTCAGAAGATATGTTAAAAATAGGCGTTGCTATGTGCTGTGGATTTTCTTGTCCCCCGAGAATGAAGAGTTGCTGTTTGTTTGCATTTAATATATACAAGCACATGGTGACCTTTAGGAATGGAAAGATGTAATAACCATTATATTGTAATGTCAATTAGTATAATTAAGTGAAGAGAAGAATTGGAGGGAAGATCTAGCACACATATTTTCAGAATGATGATTAATTTTCTATTGAAATAAAAATGTTAGCTTTCTAATTGCAGAACTCACATTTTCACATAATTAATATACACTCATCAAAAGCAAAAGGCTCCTAAGGAATGAGTTCTTTCATAAGACTCCCCCCACCACCCAAATGCCATCTATATTCTCATCCCAGAAAGCCAAGAACTCTGGCCTTTCTTTATACTCCTCTCCCTTAACTCATCTGCTTTTTGAGCAACTGAGAAGATACCTCCTGACTGGGTCTCTTGCCCATCACTCTCTCCTCAAATCCATTTTATACATTATTTCAGTAATCCCACCTGAAATCCAGTTCTGATCATGCTGTTTTCTGCTTAAAGATTCCCCATTTCCAGTACTGTATTGAATATAGTATAAACTCTTCTCTTTGTCATTCTTACAAAATCGATCCATTTCAATACCCCCTTACACAGATTGTGTTATCCTCAAAATCTGTGCTTCCTTATGACTATACTTTTATTCCACTGCACCAACTATCTATAGTTTGTGCCTCTTACTCCACATCAGATGTGGAAATCTCACCATTTTTTCATGTTACAATTCAAATGCTACCCTCTGGATAAAGATTTTCCTAATCTTCCAAAGATGGATGATATATTTTCCTCCTTTGAGTCCCCAAAGGACATTTATTTTTACCTCCCCTCTGAAATATATATTCCCTCCACTTCTGCCAAATATTGCTGCTATTTATGTATCCGAATTAGCTTACCTTCTAACCAAGCTCCTTGAAGGCCATGATTATATTTCTTCTGCATCCCACATATTTCCTTTTGAGGTATTTTGCACATATCAAGTATCTCAATATGTATTTTTTGAATTTGTTAGCTTTGTTTTTCACAAACAAAACCTCCTTTTTGTCTCTTTGACATTGGCCTTATTTTAAGCCCTCCATAAAGTAGCTCATAGATTGATTTATCTTCATTTGTATAGTTTAAAAAATTCTGAATGTTAAGACTATTTCTTAGTTTAAGGTAAGGCCAATCTCAGTTTATTGCCTGCTTTTTTTTAAAAGATATATTTGGGGGCAAGTCATTTTAGAATCTTAATTAAGAAAAGTAATAGCTAATGTAATGAGCAGGTAACAAAATTATTCAACCCTTAAATTTCTCTTAAGTTGAACAACTTCCTTAAGCCTATAATCCTAATTAATGGCAGGTCCTGAAGACATTTCAAGTTTCTAGACTCACAAATGAACTCTCAAAATTTTGGCATAAGCAAGCTTACTTATGAAAACAAAACTATCAAATCTACATCTAAAAAGTGAATGGACCCTAAATTTAGTCCCAAAAGACAGAACCTTAGATGATTTCCTGTTGACCTATTAATGAGAGAAAACATGGGCCTTAAGTAGCAGAGGATTTTTTGAGTACCCCAGCACGGTATCTGAAGTCAGTTGCTGCCTTAGAACCCTTCCTCCAGCCCATTTCTACTGACATAGTCACTATTTACTCTTGATTCCCTGAAATGTAACAAATGTAGGCAAAGGCAAAGTTAAGATGACACCAGAGGATCATGATTTCACCATCTAAGCACAAGATCCCCTTCCTTGAGAAGAAGCATAGAATTTTTTTTTTTTTTGGCTAGCCCTCTTTTCCATGCTGCTGCTATACAGATTAGGATGAGAGAATATAGAGAATATTATGGCATAGAATGATTATGCTTGAGGGGCTTGAGAAATAGTCTTGTGGAATGTGTTGCCCCTACACTATATAACCACACTCACTGGTGGACCTGGCAACTCATCAAGGCGTTCTACCTTCCAAACACTAGCTGAGGTCTTATAAGGCAATGTGGGAATGAAATGTAAAATACTCTCTCTGAAGTAGTTCCAGAAACTAGAGAATAGTGAAGGTGCAAACAGAGCACTTTTAATATGGTTTTGTAGAATTTCAGTTTTGTATACTTGGCATGCTATTTGAAAAGCATACTGAGCGTAGTACTTACAGTGAGTAATATCAGGTGGACCATAAGGATCAGTCATATAAATGGTGGTAGGTTTGCCAACTTTTAGATAAACTACATCAGATGTGTTCTTCAATATTGCTACTGCTTCTTCATGTGTCACTTCTTCTAAACTGTAGTTGTTTACCTGAAAGGGGGAAAATCAATATTAGAATTAAACCTATGCAGCTGTAGAGAAGATATCTGGTATCATGATATTATTATTAGGTATTGGGAATTGAACCCAGGGGCACTTTTCCAATAAGCTACATCCCCAGTCCTTTTTAATTTTTTTGTTTTGAGACAGGGTCTTGCTAAACTGTACAGGGCCTCGCTAAGTTGCTGAGGCTGGCCCCAAACTTGCAATTCTTCTGTCTCAGCCTCCTGAATCACTGGGATTACAGGCATGCACCACCACACTTGGCTTAGAATTATAATCTTATTTAAAGATTAAAATGCAATGATTAGTTCAGTATCTATGTCATACTTTGACAGAACAGGTGGGTTAAGCTTTAGAAAAGCAAATAAGGTATAGTCATTCATGCTATGAAACAAGATTGCCTCTGCCTTTCTCTATGAGGATATGATATAATAGAAATTAGGACAGTATTCATGGAAAGAAGAAATAAGGGGTCAAATGTATTTCTTATTGTTATAGCTTTTGTGATTAAAAAGTAAACTATTAACTGAAAAAAATGAATAAAAAATACAAAAGAAAATAAAAATCATAATCTCCCTAATTGGATATATTTCTTTAAGTAACTTTGACCATATTACAGTCATTCTTCTGGAACCTGTTTTTTTTTTTTTTTTTTTTTTTTTTTTTTTTTTTAAATCTAGAGTGACTATTTGTCCATAACATTGATACTCAATAGCATGAGTGGTGTTTCAGAGAGCATGGCATTGTATGGCAATAATAATGATTTAACTACTCTCACAAGTGCATGTTTAGTTTGCTTCTAATTTTTTGCCACTATAAATAATGTTATAATAACCCCTTTTTCTATATTTATACACAACTTTAATGATTCATTTGGAATAAATCACATACTTGGAATTGCTGGTTCAAATTGTATGAATATTATTAAGGGTTTTTGACAACTCTTCCAAAGTACTCTTTGAAAGATGGATGTGTTTATCCTCATCATACCAGTATGATATGAGGCCCCATTTCCATACAGTTTCCCCAGCATTGTATTGACTCACTTTAAAAATATTTCCCATCTAACTGTCATTTAAGATGAGTCTATTTTTCAAGGAAAAAGTGCTAATGCTAGAACACAAGGCTTCACAGGTGAGAAAGTTCAATGTATTCTATTGCCATTAGCTTTAACATTAATGACCTTTTCTTTATTGTACAGAGAAGCCTGGAATACAGGTACCTCTTACTTCATGAAAGTGATATTACAGCAGATATCTGAAGTATTTTTCTGGTATTAATGTAATTTCCCCAGAAAGATCTTGTCTTTGAGAAAATCAGACTATATATTCAAAAAGTATCCTAAATATATATGTTATTCTTACTTGGCTTCTATTTTTATATGGAGCCATCATTTAGTCACTTTTTGCTGAAATGACATAAAATTAAAATAAATGTGTCCAGAACATTGGATTGGATCCCTGTATACTATTCTGTCCCCTCTTATCCAAGGGAATATGTTCTAAGAACTCAGTGGATGCCTAAACCTGCTGATAGTATTTAATGCTATATATACTGTATTTTCTTGTATACATACATAATTTTTAAACAGTTTAACTTATAAATTAGGCATAATAAGAGATTAATACCAATAGATCAATAATAATAAAATAGAACATTATTTCAATAAACTGTATTAACATTGCCAGTATCACTACTTTTGGACATTGAGGATCATTCTTAAGTAAAATAAGTGTTCTTTGAACACAACCAATCTGATACTAAGATTGCTAATCTCATAACTAATATATAAACTATGTGCCTAACAAGCAGGTAGCATATAGTACATGAAAATGCTGTATAAATGTATGATTCACATCCCAACTAGGATGCAGCCAGGATAGTTTGAGATTTCATCACACTCTTCAGATTGGCATGCACTTTAAAACTTTTGAATTGCTCATTTCCAGACTTTTCCATTTAATACTTTTGGGCCATGGTTGACTTAGGGAAATTGAATTCATAGAAAGCAGAACTACAGATGAAGGGGATACTACTGTGCATATTCACCTTAATTTTCACCTTAATCATATAATACCTGGTAGCACTATTTTATTTTATTTATTTATTTTCCCACATGTTGCTACCTAAATTCCATGTGTCAGTTAAACTTTGACAGTGTAACCCAAAATAGGAACCCTGGAAATAGAGGGAGTTGAACTCAACTGATGTTATCAATGCTGACCATAAACTCTCTGTGAAGCAGGAAGCATTTCTGTGAGTTCTTACTTTTCTCTCCTAGGCAAGTGATATGGCTCAAATATTTTTGTATGTCTATTATCTGGCATGTGTTTTTTCACTGATCAAATGCTCACTGCATACATAGAATATGCAAGGCACTGCTCTAGGTATTAGAGATACAGTGGTAAACCCTAAGAGTGATAATCTTAATATAGCAATCACTTATACAGCCTGTATTAAATGCCAGGTACTATTACCAATTTTACATATATTAACACAAACAAATAGCCTGTGAAATAGATGATATAATTACATTTGACAGATAAGAGAAGCATCAAGAGGTTGAGAAACTTGCCAAAAGTCAGTAATCTAATAAGTGGTGGAGACAGAATTCAAAGCCAGAAGTTTGACTTAGGAGACCATACGCTTAACCATTCGGCTATACTTCTTCTTCCAGATAAACAAGGGCCCTGCTCTCATGAAATCCATATTCAATAGGACACAGTCATTTGTGGAATGATTGCATAGATAAATAGATCCATGCACAGGGGGAGAATGTAGAGGGACTAAAGTTGTGAGGAACACAGTTGATGATAATAGTCCTCAATACTAGAGAAGTAACAAAAACAACAGAGCTAAGATTTATCAACATTTTCATGTCACGTATTTGGGGAGCACTATGTCATATATTGGAATATAAATCATACAACTGATCTTCCCTATAGCTACATGAGGTAGACAAAATGAATAGGCCCACTTTACTGATGAGAAAACCTGATGCTTAAAGAAGTTAGCTTCGAACAAAGAGGCCACACAGCCTCCAAATGGCAAAGGCATCAGTTAGTTTACAATCTTCCTGAAAGATGAAAATTAGATGGTCCTCAAGTACTATTATCAAAATCTAGGGCTTATACCATCTCTTCCTCTACATGTAAATGTAACTTAAATTCCAAAGTATTTTAAAAGCCCAAGTAATTATTATAGTCCTTGTTTAATCCAATGGGACAGTACACTGTATCATCCTAATACACTGAGTACACAGTAAGAAAACAAATGCAAAGTAGCTTAGTATTTCTCACCGTCCCTTCAAAATTTCTTATATATTCACTTAACCACTTATTTTAAGACAGAACCTCTTATACCTAAATAATGAATATATGCAGGTGATGGTCACATACGACTTAAAGTGTGTTTGGAAATGAGTTTTCTCTCAAAGAAATGATGGCCTAAGGCAACTTGAAATGTTGTGACCATGGCCCCAGAAATACCTCTACTGAAAAAGTAGAAGAGAAACAAAATTTGTTGGCATAACACAAAAGGGATGACAAAACAATGGAAAAAAGACCCCAAAGGCTAGAAACTCACTGGATTAGATATTCAATGGCACCAAAGCTCTGTTTCTGACAAGGGCTCATTGTCGATCTTCCCAGAGGGCAGAAAGTACAGAGCTTATTAGATTATCAGTGAAAGAAGGATATGGTCACTGCTTATTAAATTCTTCCTTTTCCCATTTTGAAGGTGGGCAGTGAAACAATGCAGAAAATGTCATATTCAAACTGCATATCCAGAGATTTTCACACCAGTAGGAAAATCTTTAGACAGAATGCAGAAATTAAGAAAACGGTTGAAGGTATGGAGTGGGGAAGAAAAGAGGATACTTGTGGCAATGGTAATGGTAGTTGAAGAAAGTGGTAGTTAAGTGGTTTTTACATGGCGATTGAAGAATTCACATTTGTTTCAGTCATGGAACAGGTGATAATAATCGTTCTGGTACAGAAGACAGAGATCAAGAGCATAAGATTTTGTGTCATGCAGACTTAGAGACTTAGATTTGAGCCCTAGCCTTGGTGCTTTTTGGCTCTGTGACCTTAGGAAAATTATTTAACCTTCTAAACCTCAGTTTTGACATCTGTAAAACAGGAATGATAATGTTTACATCCTCAAAGGGTTATTAATTTACTTGTGTTAGCCTATGTAAAGGGACGAACACATTGAATTACTTATTAATTAATGTCAGTTCTCATCACTATTACTATTGTCATCATTCAACGTTCCCTCCTCCCCCGCCCCAGGAAACAGGATTTCTTCGTGAAAATTTTCCCTGATCATTTTCCTGTAAACATCTGTGAACTGATGAGTTTAATTAGGGTACTGCTGATGAGGCTTCTGTGTGGTCTTTTAAAAAATTCAGAATAGTATGGGATCTGGACCAAAAAGTGTTCTTTTGTGCTGAAGTCTTCAAAATGTTTTTCACAAAAGTGGGTTTGTTTGGGTTAATTATGTGTATGCAATATCCTATGAACTCTCAAGATAAAAGGCCTACAGCTGGAGATGATTGTGTGCAGAGAAAGGGACATTACACTGATTGGCTAGTTGCTCTTGTCATTGTTTTTCATTGTCTTTTTATTTTTTAAAAAAAATTGCATCAAGTATCTGCCTATTATGGTGAACACTGAACAACTGGCCTGGTTTCAGAGAAAAAAAAATGTTGTGCCTTTGAGTGAAGTGCTGTCTGTGGGGTGCACTTCATAGGGGAAGACACATGTGAAGCCTGCAATAGGAAAGAGGACTGAGGCCAAGAAAGAGAGGCTGGAGGTGAGATGACTCATTCTCTCAAACAGAAGAGGGAGCATGGAATTTGAGCACCATGCAAGGAGGTCAAACCAGCTGAAGAAAGAGGTGCCAGGAGATTTGCAAGAAGGGGACATGGCCAATTTTGTGGAAATTCAAGAGTGTAAGCAAACATATATGTGATAATGTAAAGGTGA